GATGCATTCCCGATATACAGGAAAAAATGCGCTACCGGTCAAAAAGAAGGCTTACCATGGTTTTTCGCCTCCCACCGACCTTTGGAGATTTCCTTCCAGTTTCGCTCCGAATATGGCCGCTGGGCCACTATCTTGTTTACCCAGCCGGCCAGATCCTTGACGGCAGCTGGAGTTTGGGTCACCGCTGCACAAGAAAAGGGGGTTTCAGGAAGAAGTTGAGGAAAACACGCTCTAAAAGATGAACAGTGAGAAAATACTTACGTTTGAGGTTCCACCTCTCCGGAAATGGCATGCAATCGGCCGGAATCAGGTCGGACGTCCTGATCCGGACAAACCTGCTCATCCAGCCTCGATCTTTGTCTTCATCGATGCTGGAGAATGGGGGTTTGCTAGCCCGGCGGGCCAGTTTTATTAATCCCCCTCGAAATATTCGGGGGCTGTATAGTCGAAGAAGATGGTCGAGGGTAAAGGGGAAATCGCCCTCGACTCTCTCAACAAAAAACCGAAAGAGATATACGATCCGCCACATCGAGGGGTGGATCTGACCTAAGGTCACCTCGTACCGCCGGCAGAACTCCACTATGATGGGTTCTAAGGGGCCTAAGGTGAAGGGATATGTATATACACTAAGATATCCTTCAACGTGAGTCATAATCGACTCGTCACGGGAAGGGGCGACCAGGTCTTTCCCTTCCCATCTACATTCAGCCCTCACCCGGTCTAGGCAACCGGGAGTGATTAGACTAATATACTCCGATGCCGGTTCGCCGCGGCCCGGGACCGATGATGGGTTTTCAACCTGGAAGTCGGCAGATACCGAGCAACCAGTCGGTGTGAATGCTTTCAATGGGGGTTCTGGTGCATGTTCATCAGATCTAGCGGGGCTCGCGGCCGAGCTTGGTCTAGAAGGAACACTTTGTGAAGTTTTCGCCATTTCTTAAAGCTTTACGAAGAGATGAAAAGAAAATACAACCAACGCAGAATTTGAGAAAGATAGGAAATGTTGAACCTGGAAGGGTCGTTTATACTTTTTCCATGAGGCGGTGGCACGAATCGCGAAGCCACAGACACGAAGCGACAGATAATTAAGAGAAGCATTAAATGCCTGCAGCAGGCGTGGTCAGAGCACTCGATGGCTTTTTCACCTGGCGTATGGCCATACGTCACGGGCATCACGTCACCGGTCATATCGTTTATTATCATTACTCTCTAATAAACGAGGGGACTATCTGTATTGGGTGATACCCTTTTTTGCTTGAGCCCGACCGGGTTGGGTCCGGTCCGGAGCAAGTCGGGGCCATCGAACCCGACCTGGATGCAAGGTAGAACGACGGCCACGTCTACAACCGAGGTCGAGTCATTTCGAGACCGTTACAGAGCTCGATAGGAGTCACCACCGGATGGAGAAACACACAAGGTCGGAAGCCGGACTCGTAACGGATAACCAAGCGTCGCCGGATATCTCGCCCAAACGTGATTTTCTCAACCACTTCAGGCCATTAAGGCGTAATTACAGGGATCCACGATGTAATTAATTTACCTACCTTATTTTTACCCTTAATCAGAATGTATAAAAGGGGAGAAGACCCCATAAAGAGGGGATCGGAAACCATTACACTACAGTACCATCTCTCTCAATTCTTGTACGCTATCAAGCACAATTGTTCTAAGCAATATTATATTCTGCGATTATTTACTTTAACAGCAATTGTTGAGTCTTTATCTTTTATTTTCCTCAATCCAAACCTTTTGTATCTTTTAGTTCACGGATCCTTAAAACCCCATATAAATTCAATTGTTATCCGGATTCCAGGGTAAACAATATGCTAGTATTATCTAAATTGTATGTGTTTGACCAGATTTTGTACATAAAAAATTATATACAAGTTGTATATATGTTTTACGTAAATTGTCGCTTTTGATCGGATTATGTGCAACAAATTGTATGTCGGGTGTACAAATAATATATAAAATATATACAACTAATATAAATTATATGCTTGTTGTATACAAATTGTATGTAAGTTGTTTGTGTTTTACCAGATTTTGTACAACAAAAAATTGTATACAAGTTGTGTATAAATTATACGTAAATTGTAGGTTTTAATCGGATTCTGTACAATAAATAGAAAGTTTTATTGTATATATGAAAACCTAGCTAAACCAGGTAAATATCGTCCTAATTTTATTATAGGAAAAAATCACTTATACTATTGCGTCATTTTATTCTGTTTTTTCAGTTAATTTGCCATGGTTTATTTACTCTATACATTGAGTGGTATCTAGGCCGCTAAAAGAGATGAGGGGGTTGGTTTAACTGTTCCTATTTGCCTTTCCTCACATTTTTCCTGTACTTAAAAAATTAAATGAATCATTTCTACTTAGTCGGAAAATTTTCTGAAAACATGGATATATTAGTAGAAGTCCATAAGTTAACAAAAAAAAAAAAAAAAAAAAAAAAAAAAAGGATATCAGAGTGAGTTACATAAATGAAATGAATGAAGAGTTGAAAGCAGGCGTATGCTTTAGGCGGCTTTTAATATTCGTAGAAGCTTTGATCTATAAAGATATATAGTTAGGTCCAACCGAACACATCCATTGATTAAAGGTTCCTTTAATTTGTGTTCGAGACCTTTGGATTATCTTTCTAGTTTTTGTATATGTACAAAAAAAGATTATTATATCCTTTTCTTGATTGCTTCTTAAGGCATTCAACTTTGGACTAAAACGAACAAGAAAAGAAGGTTCTAAAATGTCGAAAGTTCGAACAAAGATTTGTTTGAATAAATACGAAGTTCATTCTTAAATTTGACGGCCAAAGTTTTTAAGTGCTACTGAATTCTTTTATAGTTACGTTTAAGATGAACACAAAATTGTAGAGAGAAAAATATGTTCATATTAAATGCTCGCATAATAAAGCGACACATGGAGACGAAGGCAGAAGGCAATCAGGTCCGAATACAACAATCTCGTTTGTTCCCGAAGTGAATGATGTTCATAAAGGCAAAATAAATGCCTGTCACCCAATAGCATTTAATGGAAAATATTCTATAGCATTAAGTACATAATCCGTTACAGAGAATATGGCATGCACTGTCTACCGTTACACATTCTTCAATAGCCCTCATAATTGTCATTTAAGAGAGGCTTGATCCTAGGACCTTGTTCCCTAGTACAACTATAAATAGTGAGCTCAACATCCATTGTAAGAGGGGAGTTTCCCAAAAAAACTTATGCTATACATTGTTCAAAGCTTAATAATATTTTATCTACTTATTAATATCGTTACTGCTGCATCCGGAAGCTCTGCTCTTGGAAACAGGATTCCTGCTGTTTTAACTTGATTTCAACGCTAAGCTTTACATTCTTGTTTGATTTATTTATTATTTTTGGGATCAAATCAATTTACTTGTCTGTAAACCGCGTATAAATTCAAATGTACCATTTTACGGATAAACAGTTTGGCGCCTACCGTGGGCTGAGATAGTTGTGTAATTGAGTTGATCCTTGCATCTATTACTAACTTGTTTGATTCTTTGTTCTTAGTAAAAATCATAGAAAATGGTAGATAACGATGTCAACATCGCACACAATGTTGAAGCCCAAGGAAATCAGCCTCGGCACGAAGATCCGATCTGTGATACCCGCAACGAGGGGGATAAGGCCACGCCGGTCCATCGCGGGCAATATCCGGGACATGTTCGAGAGGCAGCTCCTGATGATGCTGAAGATGAGCACGTCGCTGAAATAGTAAGGATCCTGAAGGAGCAACAAAAAGACATTATGGGTCATCTCTCACGACAAGATCAGGTCATGATGGAGTTGAGGCATGCGTTGTCGGGTGCTTCCAACAACGCGAATGGACGAGGTCCAATTCCTCCCGGTGCTCCCACAAACCAAACAACATAGAGGGTTGATAACAACACCCCAAGGGGCGAAGTTGGCTTCGACAAGGCCAGGGGAAACAGTAGCATATCCGGGAACAACAATGAGAATCGATCCCTTTAAAATCGAACTTATGCGGTTTATGAGGGAAATAAACACCCTAATGGATCAAATTCCGGGCGCACCACCAGTATTGAAAGAACCGAACTTAGAGAAATGCACTCAGTTGATGTTCAAACCAAGCGCGGCACCAGAATTGATCCTAAAGTGGTTCAAAATGCCAGAAGTGCCAAAGTATGATGGGACTTCGGATCCTCAAGAACACATCACCACCTACATAACAGCAGTAAAGGGGAACGATTTAGCTCCGCACGAGATTTAGTCTGCTTTATTGAAGAAATTCGGGGAGACCCTCACGAATGGGGCCCTGACATGGTATTCACTCTTACCCGAGCACTCAATAGATTCCTTCGAGATGCTCGCAGATTCTTTTATCAAAGCCCATGTCGGGGCCAAAAAGGTACAGGCTCGAAAGGACGACATATTCAGGATCGCACAAGAAGAGTCCGAATTACTACGGGAGTTCGTAACCAGATTCCAGAAAGAAATGATGTTGCTGCCGGCCGTACCGGACGAATGGGCAACTGAAGCATTTACTAAAGAGCTGAATTCGAGAAGTTCCGACGCTTCTCAAAAATTGAAAGAAAGTGTGCTCGAGTTTCAGGAATGTGGGCGGACGTTCACAATCGGTACGAGTAAGAGATTAGAGTTGAGGATGATCAGTTCGATTTCCCGGCATCAACCAAGGGTCGTGACCAGGAAAAGAATAAGGATAAGTCAAATGATGATTTCGAAGCAGATCGACGGTCTTCAAGAGGTCGGTTTTTTCTCAATGAACGGGCAGAAGGGTGTGGTAGAGGTTTTTGTTCAGCGGATAGATTCACTACCGATAGGAGAGTTGATCGCATCCGGAATAACAGATCACTGCAGGACAAGGAGATATTGGGTTCCCGAGACTCCTCCTACCCTAGGCTTACCGAATACAACTTCAACGTCAGCGTGTTGGAGCTAGTATCGGCTATGAGGAACATTAAGAAGCACGGTTCCCGAAGCCAATGAGATTTGATCCCAGTCAAAGGGATCCTAATTTCTGGTGCGAATACCATGAGACCAATGACCACCGGATAAGGGACTGTCGGCAATTGCGCGAGCAGGTGGCGGTATTGTTAAAAAATGACCATCTCAGAGAGATCTTAAGCGACTGGGCTAAAAACAACTACGACCTCAATCGTGATAACGCGGAACCCTCAAAAGCAGGAGAAGACCCTCTTCGTCAGACAATCAACATAATTTTTGAGGGGAACGAGATTAATAGTGCGACAGTTTTAGCGGCAAAAAAGACGAAGGTATCAGTAACCCATAGTAAAAGACTCCGGGAAGTCGTTGAGGACGACATTACTTTCACAGAGGAAGATTCAGATGGACTAGTGTTGCTGCACAACGATGCCTTGGTAATTTCTCTAAATTTTTTAGATTTTAAAATCAAACGTCTTTTGGTGGACCCAGGAAATTCGGCCAATATTATCCAGTGGAGAGTGCTGGAGCAAGCCAAGTTGATCGGAAGTATCATTCCAGCAACAAAACTCCTTGCCGGGTTCAATTTGGCAAGTGTGACAACCCGAGCAGAGATCTTACTGTCCACAAATGCCGAGGGGGTGATGAATACGATCCTTTTCGAGGTAGTAGACGTCGATATGGGCTACAATATTATCTTGGGGAGACCATGGTTGCACGAGGTGAAGGCCATTCCGTCAACATATTATCAATTACTGAAGTTCCCAACCCCCGAGGGAATTAAACAAATAAGAGGAGATCAATCGGCGGTAAGGGAAATGAACACAATCTCAGTTTCCAGTAGCAAAGGGAAGGAGCATGCAACATAGCAATTATAGGAACCGGCGCCTGCTCCCGATCCGAGCAAAGTCAACCAGAGGGAGGGTTCATCGGAATCCTATCAGGTACCAAGATATTTCCAGGTACCAGAAGAACCATACGTAACAAAGTCCATAGCGGAAGAACTTGAGCAAGCCACGTTGTTCGAAAAATTCTTGGACAGGAAGTTCCACTTGGGGACAGGACTAAACCCCAAGCTCAGGTCAGGATTTATAGAATTCTTAAATTTAACATTGACTATTTTGCATGGTCGCATGTGGATATGACAAGTATCGCGTCGGAAGTGGCTGTGCACAAAATAAGCCTAGATCCTAACACCCCGCCGGCGAGGCAGAAAAAATGCCTTATTGCCGAGGTCAGAAACAAATTCGTCAATGAAGAGGAAACTCGTTTGCTTGATATCGGTTCAATCCGAGAGGTAATATATCCTGACTAGCTAGATAACATAGTAGTAGTTCCAAAGAAGAATAATAAATTTCTCATGTGCGTAGACTATAAGGACCTAAATAAGGTGTGCCCCAAAGACTTATTCCCATTGCCAAACATTGATCAATCGATACGATGGCTGGGGACGAGTTAATGAGTTTCCTCGGTGCTTACTCCAGGTACAATCAAATCAAGATAAACCTAGAGGATCAGGAAAAAACTTCGTTCATAACGAACTTCGGCACATATTATTATAATATGATGCCTTTCAGGCTAAAGAACAACGAAGTCACCTATCAGCAGCTTGTAAACAAAATGTTTGACAAACAAATAGGGAAAACCATGGAAGTTTGCATAGATGATATGCTGGTTAAGTCTTTGAACGCAGGTGATCATCTCAAACACTTGCAAGAAACCTTTGACATCCTAAGAAAGCACAACATGAAGCTTAACCCCGAGAAGTGTGCATTCGGAGTCAGCTCTGGTAAGTTCTTGGGATTCTTGGTGTCCCAAAGGGGGATCAGATTTAACCCCGGTAAAATTAAAGTCATCGAAGACATCCCTGACCAGCTATCAAGCGTGAAAGAGGTTCAAAGGTTGACAGGAAGACTGGCTGCTTTAAGCAGATTCATTTCCCGGTCCTCGGAAAGATTCCATCACTTCTTTCACTCCTAAAAAAGAAGAAACACTTTGAATGGACTCCATAATGTCAATAGGCTTTGAAGGATTTGAAAAGTTATTTGTCGAGTCTTCCACTACTGTCAAAACTAGAGGAAAGCGAACAACTGCTGATCTACTTAGCGGTCTCGGAGGTAGCAGTAAGTGCCGTTATAGTTAGTGAGCATGAAGGTACACAGTCTCCTATCTTTTATGTTAGTAAAATTTTACCTGGAGCAAAAACTCGCTACCCACATCTGGAAAAATTGACCTTAACTCTTGTAGTCGCCGCTCGAAAACATAAGCCTTATTTCCAATGTCATCCGATAACCGTGGTGACAACTTTTCCCCTGCGAAATATCCTTCCTAAACCTGAAATTTCAGGCAGGTTGGCCAAGTGGGCAGTCGAAATGAGTGAATTTGACATAGAATATAAACATAGGAATGCGATTAAGTCACAGGTTTTGGCCGACTTTGTGGCCGATTTCAGTCCGGGACTGTTACCTTTGGCTACCAAAGAAGAAGTGATGGTGTCAGAATCGACATCAGGAGTTAGGACTTTGTTCACGGATGGGCCTTCTAAAATGAAAGGGTCCGGGCTCGGCGTAGTGCTAATCACGCCCTCGGGGGAAATCCTAAGGCAGGTCATAAGAATCGTTCCTATTACTAACAATGAAGCAAATTATGAAGCTTTGATTGCTGGACTCGAGTTGGATCGGGTACTGGACCCCGAGGTCGTAGGAATCAAATGCGACTCCTAATTAGTAGTAAATTAGGTCTACGGGATCTTCGAAGCCAAAGAGGAACGCATGCAACAATACATAGTGAAAGTCCAAGCTTCTCTCTCACGGTTCATGGAATGGTCAATTACCCACACCCCGAGAGAAGAAAACGTGGAGGCAGACACACTAGCCAATCTGGGGTCATCCACAAAAATGAAGGGATCGGACTCCGGTACAGTTGTGTAGCTTGTGTATTCGGTATTAGACGCAGGCAGCTATTACTAAGTAAAAGAGACCAATTTGGTCTGGGACTTGAGAAATGATATTATTGACTATCTTGAGCACGAAACACTACCTGAAGATCCCATGGCATCTCGGGCGCTGCGCACTAAAGCAGCTCGATACAGCTTCAAGGGAGGTAAATTGTATATAAGATCTTTTCAAGGCCCGTTGGCCCGATGTTTGGGAGCTTCCAAAGCTAACTATGTCATGAGAGAAGTCCATGAAGGGATATGCAGAAATCACTCGAGCGCGGCTTCCTTAGTGTTAAAGCTAATTAGAGCAGGATAGTATTGGCCCCGGATGGACAAGACACCGAGGCTTATGATCAGAAATGTGATAAATGTCAGTGCCACGCGCCATTGATACATCTACAGGCAGAGCTGCTACACTCAATTTTGTTGCACTGGCCATTCATAAAGCGGGGGATGGATATAGTCGGTCCGCTGCCGCCAGCCCCCGATAATGTAAGATTTCTTTTGATTTTAACTGACTACTTTTTTAAGTTGGTTGAAGCAGGTCCTTACTAGAAAATCGGCGAGCGCGAAGTGGTAGATTTTTTGTGGGCAAATATAATTTGTAGATTCGTGATACCAAAAGAGATAGCATGCGACAACGGGCCACAATTTATAGGTGTAAAGGTCACAAAATTTCTTGAAGACCTGAAAATCAAAAGAACCACATCATCACCCTATCACTAAGCACAAACAGTCAAGGAGAATCAACAAACAAGGTAATTATTCAAAAGCTTAAAAAGAGATTGGAAGTAGCCAAAGGAAGATGGCTCGAAGAGCTGCCAAGAGTGTTGTGGGCGTATCGAACAACGACCAAATCAAGTAGGGGAGACTCCTTTCTTTCTTGTATACGGAGCATAACCTTGATCTCGGTGGAAGTAGGAGAACCTACCCTAAGATACTTTCGAGCGAATGAAGAAACAAACAATGAAGCACTATAGGTCAAATTAGAGCTGCTCGATAAACGCATGGACTTGGCGCATATAAGAATGGCAACCAAAAAACAGAGAAAGGAAAGATATTACAATCAAAGAGCCAACCTTCGTTATTTCAAAGTAGGAGATTTGGTTTTAAGGAAAGTAATTCAGAACACTCGGGCTCAATACAAGAAAGCTAGATCCAACATGGGAAGGACGCTATTGGGTTTCAACTGTCACCGGGATAGGGTCATATGAATTGGAAAATCAAGACAGAGTAAAGTTCCCGAGCAACTGGAATGTGGCACACCTCAAAAGATACTATTGCTGATGAGCACCGCCTATACTGAAAGTATGTGCAGCACTCTTTTATCTTCACCCAATTTTTGTCCCAATCGGATTTTTCTGGAAAGGTTTTTAACGAGACAACAACGGAAAGCATACTACGATCCTCAGCAGAAATAAGACCTTTGAATGACAAGGCATGCAACTAATGAGCCACTACGAAACGGTTAGATAGTCTTTTGCTCGGTAGCAAAGTTCCTACGGGGAAGTAAAGTTTGCTATCAGGCTAAAGGTTACCCGACCATTCATGAGTGAAATCCACTAGGGGATTTTTGGATAATCTTTGGCTCATTAACAAATTTTCTAAGGGGAAGTGAAGCTTGCTATCGCACTAAAGATTATCCAACCATTCACTAGTAGAATCTTCAAAGGAACAAGACTTGCAGTGTTCAAATTCATATTATGCGCATCCCAACACTGTGGGGAGGGGGGAATGATATGAGAATATGATAACATTGATTGCCACATCGATCGGGACTATGAAATCCGGAAACAAAGTTGTAACATTGGGACCGGGGACTACGTGGTCAGTCCCGTAGAAACAAGTTGTACAAGTTAGCCACAAGTAATGGCAATTTCTTTTTTTAACACAACGTATGCTTATGTACTTTTGAAAATGGACGGAATAAAGTAAAGTACTTTTATTTTTATCTTGTTTCTTGTCCAAACCATGAATTAATTTTATTATTTGAAAGTTAAACAAGTACTTCAAATGGTAATGCCGTAATGAACTGGATATGTCCTCTTCATGAGCACTGTAAACATAAGAGGTCCCTCTCTTATGAAACCCTCATGGTAAAAGGTTGATTTTGAAAGAACTTATGTCCGGAATTCAAATGCTATCGGGAAAACACACCTCAAGCCTCGCATAACTCGACGAAAAAAGTAAAACTTTCGCAATACTTAAACAAAAAGTACGTAAAGAGAAAAACTTGTGCAATACTTATTAGGTAGTTTAGGAGGCTTTGGAACCACTATTAGGTAGTTCTAGACTTTACTTAGGTTGCTCAAGATGGTAAAACTAATCTCACATTAAAAAAAAAATAGGACATCACATAGTAGCAACGAGTGGCTCATGTTAGCCTCCACACGTAACAACAAAGGCAAACAAACAAATTTTAGGTTACGCAGTAGACAGTTTCATAATTAAGACATGTTTGAGTTGTTAAATCCTATAGGCATGGTTCCTATGTGATTCTGATTTTTGGTATTATACAGGCAGTACTACAGCTTTTAGGCAGATTAAAGCGTTACAAGTCCTAAAGGCTTGATTTCTAATCGTTTGCGCAATAATGTATTAAAGCGATTCCAGAATTCCCAATTACCATTGTTAATTTTATTGGAAGTGTCCTATAGGCAGGGTTTCTAATAATCACATAGTGAGGCAGTGAAGTCGCTTTAAAACATAGGATTAGAAGCATCGATAAACGGTTTCTTATGTGACTGATAACATCCGATAAGCAGGATGTATAGCAATTGACAATTAGACTTGATTTTATAACATCCTATCCTTATAGGCATGTTATCTAAGTGAGACAGTATATAAATAACAGAAAGCAATTGATCAATATTAGAACCTTATATTCATAATATCTAGGTTAGAAAAGGCATTGTATTATTGTATCCTATA